TTTTTCTAAGAGAATTGGCATGTATTTTCTAAATTTTCTTCGCCCGGATCCTGTAATGGAAAACAAAACAAAATGTAGCGGAAAAAACGTGGAAAATCCGGGTCTAATAATTTTAATAGAAAAAATCTCAAGAAAAAATTTTCTAGCGAATTCGCGAAGGTTTTCTATTAAATTTTTTCATACGTGCTGGCCCCTCGTGTGATTACTACTGGTGCATTTCTGGTTCCTCTTGGTCCACAAACGGTTCAGTATTCCAGAGAGTGCGAGGTCTAACGACGAACTCGACCCTCTGCCCACGGAAAAAAAATATCAAGTGGACATTGTGAAAATCTGGCTAGTGCAGGAGCTTGAAAAATAAGCGGATAGATGCTCATCTCCACAATATTCCTGCATAAAAAAAATGAAACGTTGAGGCTGAAAGTACAAAGTGGAATCGATACCTGAAAATCGCTGATGAGACACACAAGGCCGCGAGGCCACGTATCGCAGAATCGGATGGATCTCACTGAGACCCGCAGAGCCTACATGACATCCGAGTTTGCATACGCTCCAGTCGTGGGAGGCAATCTCTATTCATCCTTTTGATGCTTTTTTGTTCCACCTCTCGACTCTTCCTGTCTTCTTAAATTGCTGTGAAAATTGTCCCCCACCGAGCGTTCAGTTTTGTCAGACGAGCGGTTATTTCGCAGTTCTTCCGGCAACTGCACTCTTGAGAGAATTCTATTGCCGAAGATGTTTTTTTTCTATTTGTGCAATTTTCGCAAGGAACCTTCGTTAGTGAAGGGAAAACATGGGGTCATTTTTGTCTAATGAACTTCTCATTCCTGATCATTAATCCTTAATACTGGCTGCCAATGTTGAGCCAATATTCAGCCAATATTGGCTGACAATGTTGAGCCAACATTAATGGGCAATATTGAGCCAACATTAGATGTCAATGTCGACACAATTTTGAAGCAGCATTGACTGACAGTGTTGAGCCAACATTAAATATCAATGTTGAGTCGATATTGAGCCAATGTTGGCTGACAATTTTGAGCCAACATTAACTGACAATATTGAGCCAACAGTAAATATCAACGTTGAGAAAATATTGAGGCAATATTGGCTGACAATATTGAACCAACATTAAATATCAACGTTGAGTCAATATTGAGCCAATGTTGGCTGACAATTTTGAGCCACCATTAACTGACAATATTGAACCAACATTAAATATCAACGTTGAGTCAATATTGAGGCAATATTGGCTGACAATATTGAGCCAACATTAGATATCAATGTCGACAAAATATTGGCTGGCAGCATTGCGCCAACATTGGCTGACAAGGTTGAGCCAACATTAACCGACAATATTGACCCAACATTAGACATCAGTGTCGACACAATGTTGACGGACAACATTGAAGCAACATTGGCCGACAGTGTTGAGTGAACATTGGCCGACAATGTTGAGACAACACAGATTCTCTTACCCTGGATGACTCGAGAAAAAATGATACAATCCGCTGATCCAGCCGACCTCCGGAATTACCAAAACCCACTGAGTTTCAAAAACTCTAAGAATACTGGAAAACTCGTCGCGTGCGTGGGCTGCATCCCCAACACCTTCAGCTTTTTCATTACCATCAATTCGATCAACCCCCGTCTTTCGCACGTGGAATTAATTTTTGTAATAATTCAGTAATAATTCAGCGTAATGAGTGACTAATTTTATTCCCTATTTTTTTTATTTTGGAACATTGAAAAGTATTTTCAAAAAAAGTATTAAAAAAAAATTATTTTCAAATCGAAAATATCCTAATGCGTCACAAAATAAAATCGTAATAACCACCAGTTGTGCCCCTGAAGTTTATAAAATACAGATTTGAATAACATAATTTAAATTAATTTTTGCAGTAACTCAGCGCAATATTTTTTTATTTAAATTTCAGATGAGATTTCCATAACTGATTTTATTCCCTAATTTTTTCACTTTGGAAAATTGAAAAGTATTGTAAAAAAATTATTTTCAAATTGAAAATATCCTAATGCGTCACAAAATAAAATCATAATAACCACCCGTTGTGCCCCTAAAGTTTATAAAATACAGATTTGATCATAATTAGAATTAATTTTTGCAATAAGTCAGCGCAACATTTTTTAATTTAAATTTCAGATGAGATTTCTATAACTGATTTTATTCCCTAATTTTTTCATTTTGGAAAATTGAAGAGTATTTTCCAAAAAAGAGTATTAAAAAAATTATGTTTAATTTTTTTCTCTTGAAAAGTAGTTTTCAATTTTTCAAAATAAAAAAATCAGCGAAATTTTCAGTCTAAACTTCTCCATAATGAAGTGCACTCACGAAACTCCATTGTTCCAGTTTAATTCAATCGTACAAACTGAAAACTTAACCACAGTGTACAACCACTGGGGTTTCGCTACTGTGTATAAAGCAGCCAGCGATGTTGGGAAATGCATTTGTGGTGCGGAGGTGCCACCGATGAGGTAAAATGGACGTCGAAGAAGGGGGATGACGGGGAAGGAGAGTTGCCTAATCGGATTTCGCTGGCATATCCCATCGGCTGGGGCGCAAATGCATCCCTCCGTACCACGGAGGTCCATGAATTTTCGGACTCAACAATAACACCCCATTGCCAATGACTAACGACCGAGGGCCGTATATAGGCGCGTTGCATTGGGTCAGTCTCGTCGGCCGGATGAAATTGCCATTGTTACCTGCATGGAAATGGTGATTGGAACGTGCCACCAATCAATTAAAACTTTTATTCTTTCCAATTTCGAAATTTACACGTTCATTACACGGAATATATCATTTGTCTTCGAAAAAAATGATTTTTCATTTTTTTTGAAAATAAAATGAGCAAATGTTTTTATCAATGAATTTTTAAGTAAAGAAATTGAATAAATAATTATTTGAAAAAACCGAATTGCGATGTTTCTGTGAGATGTTAATAATTTTAATGGAAATTATTAATGCAATCAATTGGTAATTGTTTAATTCTTCGTTTTTAATTGTTAATTCTGATTAACTTAACGAGCAAATAGTTTTATTCATCAAATTTTCAATGAGAAAATTAAATACAGATTTTAAAAAATTATTTGCGATTTTTTAATAAAATTGGAATAATTCTAGTGAAACTAATTAATTCAACTAATTGGGAATTGTTTGATAAATTTTTTTCAATTGTTTATAATTCTTAATACTGATTAACTTGAAGAAAAAAATAATTCCTCCATTAATTTTTCAATAAACAAAAAAAAAAAAGAATTGCGATTTTTATATGACATTTTCGTAAAGCTAATGACAATTATATTGATAATTTTTCTATAGAAACTCCTCAGCATGAATTTCTATAGAAGTAATTTCAACACATTATGATGGATAAAAAAATGAAAATCTGTTCAGTTTTGTTTTTATTCTTTAATTAATAAAAACAAAACTCCAATTTTTGTTCAAGTGGAATGCAAACAAAACAGAAAATCTGTAAAATTTCATTTTTCAATTTTGCCACTGCAAAAGATGAATGGATAAATAAATGAAAATAACAAATATTTTTTCTCCGAATTCAAACTATCGGAACTGTTCTTCCGAGAATAATGAGCCCCAGAATGATACGCCCTAGAACCAGCCCTAAAAGAAATAACTCCTGATGAAAACATCGAGAGTAATCGTAACGTCAGAGGAATGAGAATGAAAAAGAAAAAGTAATGAAAGGAACGTGAGACGAGCGGAAACAGAACTGATGCGAGGAAAGCAGGAATACGGTCATTGCGGAGTTCCCTCGTCTCTTATATCCCCCCGCATTCATCTGACAGCTGTGAGGGGAATACATTTGCGGAGCTGCAGAAGAAAATTTTCATGGAATTGACCGCACAATTTTCAATTTATCTCAAATTAATTGAAAAAACAATTTAATCAATTTTAATTGCAATTTGTAAATGAACAAAATTTCATTATTAAATATTATATTTAGTATCAACTTATTGTATATTTTGATCCATTTGAAACATTGACAAAATGTCAAAAAATCCAGACCTTCACTCAAAAATAAAGAACCAAAAAGAGGACAGTCTCATCAATTTGTGGATTTTTCAATGAATATTAATTCTTAATTAATTCTAAATTAGTTAAAAATTAATAGAATTAATTTTAATGCTAATTCTTACATAAATTTATTTTTCAAGTGGAATAATTTAATTATTGAATATATCAAATACACACGTAAGAATTCGCAATAAAACGAATGGCTTTTTTGGATTAGACAATTCCATTGGATTTCTATTAAACTTTCCATTAGTGTTTGGCCAATTCTATTGAAATATTCAATAGAAAATATACTATAAACATATACCACACTTTTTTGTTCGATTTTCTTCGTGAAAAAACAAAAGAAAAAAAGAATGAAAAAAACTTGGAAAATTTGAGCCGAGGAAATTCTCTTGAAAATATCTGAATAGAATAAGTAATATAGAAAAATCTAATCATATTGACTTTTTCCGTAGAATATTTGCTACTGAATGAGCCAAAAACTAATAGAGAGTTCAATAGAATTGTCTAACAAATTCTCTAGGGTTTTCCATCTTCAATATCGATTCATTTGACGTTTTGATTCACTCGACACATCGACGAAATGTCAAAAAATCCAAGCCTTCATTAAAAATTCACAGCCAAAGAATCAAAACTCCTCACATTTATTTTTAGATCCAGACAAAATTCTATAAAAACATCGCCACGTGTTGCAGTTCCCCTAGCGAGCCACAAAAGATTTCATCCAATTGAACTTACGTGAATTGTAACTTCGTGATTATAAAGGCCACCGGGTTATTCTATACACGAACAATTGTCAGAAAATGAAAAGAGATGGTTGAACCTGAGGTAGCGCTGCCAATGAAGACAGACGAAAGCTGCAATTATTCAATCCCCGAGTCGTTTCGTGCTCCTGTGTATGATTGTCGTCTGAAAAGCTCACAATCTGGATCACAGTTTCATGCGTTCTGTCATTCAGAGCACGCCTAGAAGAATCTCAGTGAAGAGAACTGTCAGTGATAGATGACAATGGAGGAGGCACGACTGTTTGATCTGTTTGACTGTGCGATTTTCGTGCTGATGCTCGGGGTGTCTGCAGCTGTGGGAATTTATTATGCCTGGAAGGATCGAAAAACACCCGATGCGGTAGCGGAGTATCTCGTGGGGGGAAAGAACATGACGATATTTCCTATTAGCATGTCACTCATCGCCAGGTAATGCCAAATATTCAATTCGATAAATTCAAATCAATTAAAACTCTTGTTTTTTGCTTCCCAACGAAAGCATTATACTCGCCGAATCCAAAATTTACAATTTGTGTGACAGGATCACTAATTTTGACCTCAAGAGCTCGAATACGCTACTTTTAGAGGATGTCCGGATGTAGGGGAGGGTGGGGTAAAATGGACATTTTAGACTTTTTTGTAATTATTCATAACTGAGAAACAAATTTATCAATTGAGTTCAGTTTAGGCTCGTCACAAAGGGAAAGAATTGCCCTTTGTATTGAAAAAAAAGTTATTAAATTTCATCCACATTTCAATCCTTCATTAACATTTAAAAAAATGTCAAAAGTGTCCGTTTTACCCCAACCTCCCCTATGTATGTGTGTATGTGTGAATGTGACCGATCGTTTTTCAAAGATGTCTGGAAAAATAATTGTTTAAATGAATCCAATTGCGATTTAAAGTATTCTTCCAAGTGCCATCTTGACCGGGTTTGAATGAGATTGATTGAATCACCAGTTGTTGAAAAAAATTATTTAGAAACTAATGTTTAGGGAATGGTAAACAATTTTAACGTTGGGGCAATGTTCGCTGCCAGCGTTGGGACATTGTTGAATTAAATGAATCATTGAATTCAATTTAAAATACATCAATCATCGAAATTCCATTCGGAAGGAAATTTTTAATTTATTAGCAAAAACATGTGGTCTATATGACGAAAGCCATTTCCCACTTGTTTATATCCATTTCAACGACAATGTTCTAAGAGAGAGCGGGAGTAAAAAAAATCACTAAAATGCAAGACAAAATTTGCCGCTTGAATCCTCTTTCAAAAACGAATGGAAAAATCCGAAAGAGGGCTCTAAAAAATTGTTCCGTCTATAGAAACTGAATGGAGTGAGTTCACGGTTATCTGAAAACAATAAATAATTTTTAAAAATGTTTAAAAGCACGAGGTGGAGGCGCCGCCATTTTTCTTGCATACCCCTTCCCTCTGCTTTAAAGATGGCGGCGCCCACACCTGCCAATGGCCTCCTATTCTTCAACATCTCTTAGAATCGCTTTATGATTCAAATAAATTAGACAATGAATTTCATTGAATTCAAATAAACTATTTGTCTTGAATTTTAAACTTCTAGTTACATATCTGGAATAGCACTTTTGGGATTCCCCGCTGAGATGTACGTCTATGGCACACAATTGTGGGCAACTGTGATTGGAGATGGTCTTGTATCACTCACTATGGCCATTGTATACTTACCCGTCTTCTACGGTCTGCAGATTACATCCTCCTATGAGGTAAAATACAAACAAGTAAACATCACTTAAAAAATACAATGAAATTGTTTTAAAAAAAGCAGAATAAAATAAAACAATTTTCTTCAATTTAGAAGTGATTTTTTTCAAACTTTAAAATAAAATTCTGAGAATTTCAAAAACTCAAAAAAAATGTATTGAATTATTATTTTATTTTTTACAGTATTTGGAACTTCGATTCAGTCCGGCGGTGCGACTGCTCGGCTCCATAATATTCCTCATTAAAATGGTGATGATTGAAATATTTGATGTTTAATATTGGTAATGTAATGATAATGACGATAACACTAGAAATATTCATTGAGTCTATTTGCGGATGAAAGCTCTCTTTCGTGAATTGATAACGAAAAAGGTCAATGGTCCAAATATCATCGTCAGGCTCACTATCACCCTATTACTCCATTCAGACATTCCGAGAGTGGCGCCATGTGCATTGAACAAATAATTTTCGTCTTGATTCAAATTGCAGTTGCTCTATATTCCAATAGTGGTGTACGTACCAGCGTTAGCCTTCAATCATGTGACCGGAATTGACATGCACATCGTCTCTCCTATCGTTTGCGCTGTTTGTATCTTCTATACTACTCTGGTAAGAAAATTTCAGTTGATGGTATTATTTTTCCAATTCACGCGTTGAAACGATGACTCTTGATGAATAATACCATAAAGCACAATAAATAATCATGAAAACATTTTTATGAGGCCCTAGACGTGAAAAAAGAATTCTCTGCCAAAAGGGAATGAAAAAATCTGTTCGGTAGCCTGAAAAAATTGTTCTTTTTCTAGGAACTGGATGAAACGAGTTGAAGGTGATTTGAAGGGGATAAATAATTTTAATAAGTGTTCAAAAACGCGAGGTGGTGGACCGGCGTGGGCGCCGCCATCTTGGACAGCCCCTTCCTCTGCCGAAAGGGCCTTCAAAGATGGCGGCGCCTCCACCTCGCATTTTTAAACACTTGTTAAAATTATTTATACTGTTTAGAGTACGCTCAACTCAATTCTTCCGGTTTTTAGAGAAAGAACAAATTTTTTAAGCCATCTTCCAGGTTTTTTGTGCAATTTTGGTGGAGAATTCGGGGCGCAAAGTTTTTCGCGCATTTTAGTAGTTTCTCTTTCGCTTCCGAAGGCTCTTACATAACAAAATAATGTGTAAAAAATATGAAAAATGATAAAAAGAGATGATCATTTAGAATGAAGATGATTGATCACATATGAATAAAATTGATAGAAATAGCTTGCGAATTCCCTAGAAAATTCTATTAAATTTCTATTATTTTTTAGCAGAAAAATTCCGAAGCTTATTTGCGCGTTTTTTTTTCAACAGGCATGTTCAATGAGAAATATTCTACAGAAAAAATCAACAGAATTCAATTTTTCTTTTCTTTTCATCAAGAAAATTAAACAAAACAACTGAGAAAATTTCAGCCAAGAAAATTCTGTAGAAAATATCTGAATAAATTGTATAGAAAAATCGAATTCGTACAGAATATTTTTTATTGAACATTCAATAGAATTGCCAAGTGAATTCGCTAGGTTTGCCTATAAAATTTTTTTGCCCATATTGATCTGTATCCACTATTCACTGCATTATTCCCCTAAAAATATTCTCTCTCCATGCAAAAACTTCTATTTACTCTTCCTCTGAAAATAAAAACTCTTTATTTCAGGATGAATGAACACTCTCAGCTGAATTAACCTTCAGAAAACTTTTTCTTTTCAAGGGTGGGCTGAAAGCCGTCGTATGGACAGACACAATTCAAACGATTGTTATGTTCGGTGGAGTTATAATTGTCGCTATTCTCGGTACAATAAAAGCTGGTGGATTTAGCCAAGTGTGGAGTAGAAATGTACACTCCGGGAGAATCGAGTTCTTCAAGTAATTATTTGGGAGAGTGAAATTGGGAAAATTCTCCGATAATTATCGAGTTTAATCGTGAAGTTTTAAGAGAATGAGGAAAAATTCAGGGAGGAGGACGTTATGGTGCTCGGAAAGAGGATCAAAGGATTAAATGTCAGAATTATTCAGTGAAATGTAAAAAAAAATTGATTAATTGAATTTCGATGATTCCTTTTAATAATATCGTCATCTCATAAAGTAAATTATCAATAATTTCTAGTGAATGACGAAATTTTTCGGTTTTTTATTGCGAAACATATGAAATGACTGTTGACATTCACTGGAGAACACCGGAGCAAACTGGAACCCCTCAATTTTCCTTTATTCTCCAAATCGAATTATCTCTCGTCTTAATTAACCCCTGAATCAATTGTTCGAACAGCATGGATCCGGATCCCACAATTAGACACACATTTTGGAGTGTGGTGGTGGGCAATTACGTCAATTGGCTTGCCTCCTGCTCGGTAAACCAGATGATGGTTCAGCGGTGCTTATCAATGCCAAACCTGAGAAAAGCGAAAATGTGAGCAAAATGTTTTCCAAGGAAATTTCACGCACGAAAAAATCTAGTCGGAAAACTTGAATTTCCATTGAACTTTTATTGAAGAATTCCGCAGCTTTACTGCGCGCTTTTTATAGAGAATGTCCAATTGGAACTTTACTACGACACAAATCAGTAGAATTCCATCTCTCTGGACAATTTTCTTTTATTCAGACATTTTTTATGCAGTGATAGGAGGATTCAGCTGTTAATGAGGCTTTTTATTTATTAACACGTCCTTGGCGTTATTCATTCATTTCTTGGAATGAATTTTCAGTTTTTTCCACTCAATTTTTCAATTTTTTTGTTTCATTTTCTTAATGAAAAGAAAAGAAAAATAGGATTCAATTTTTCTGTAGAAATTATTCCATCAAGATATTTTCTATAGAATTTCCTCCGCTCAAATTTTCAAAAATTCTTCAAATTCTGTTTTTTATTTCTTTTCATTAGAAAAATCAAGGAAGAAAATTAGAAAATTTGAGCCGAGAAATTTCTATAAAAAGTATAATTCCTCATGGAATAGGCAAATTAAATTACATTTACTTTTTCCATAGATTTTCCATTGACCATTTCTTTGAAAAAAAAAACACGCGGATAGAATACTCAATCAAAACAAAAATAATTTTCTAGCGAACTCGCCAGGGTTTCTATTAAATTTTTTCGTCCGTCATTTGATGGGAAATTTTGGTGTTTTTTTTTAAATTTTCATGTTTGAAAAAAGTGCAGACGTGAGTCATCTTTTAATTTATATTCTTATTATTTATTAGTTATTATTTATTAATTACAATAAATTGACGGAAATAAAAAAAATACTTGTAAAAAAAATTGAGATATATTTTTATACATAAAATATAACTTGCAAAAGTCCGCCAAAATTTTTCATCGAATACCCTTGGTACTCGAAAACAGCGGGCTAATCCTCTTTCAGAAACTCCTATCCGGAAATACCAGCAATGTATTTCAATTTCTTCCAGAACGATTGTTATCATGGCTGCGGGAATAATATCGATAGTTTCCCTCAGCTGCTACACGGGAACAGTCATCTACGCTGCGTTCCACGACTGCGATCCAGTGAAAACTCGCGTGAGTGTGAAATGATATCAATAAAAACGAATTAATCCTGTCGAAAGTCTCTCTGTTCTGTGAATTTCAAGCGAAAATTTTTTATCAGCAAATACGCAAGCCGGATCAACTCCTGCCATTCTTCGTGATGGAAATTGCCCAGTCCGTTCCTGGCCTTCCTGGGGTGTTTGTCTCTGGTGTATTCAGTGCTGCATTGAGGTAAATAAATTGTTGTTCTTTGGGGTAGGAATTTACAGGAAAAAAAATTGTTGAATCGAAAATATCTTTTTTTTTTTAATTAAATTAAATAAGAGAGTTATTAATTCTAGAATGAATATCCTCAAGTCAAATATTTGTAATCGGAGAACTTAATAATTTGATTGAAGAACGGGCGGAAAAATATTATAGAAAAATCTAGCAAATTTGTGGGAAAATTCTACTGAGTTTCTACTTAAAAATTATGCAGTTTATTTACGCATTTTTTTCCAGAGAAATGTTCACTGGGAAATATTCTATCGAAAAAATTGATAAAATTCAATTTCTCCGTATTTTTGACTGAGAAATGAATTGTGAAATTTTTATCGATAAGAATTTTTTCTTTAGTTCATTAATTTTTTCGTATAAAGTAGTCTATGTATTTTCTACATAAAAATCTTGCTGTAAACCTGCGAAATTCTGCAATAGAATCGGCCAAAGACCAATGAAATTTTCTTTTAATTCGCCAGCTTTCTCGATGATTTTTTTTCGTGCGTGTTCTATCAAAATATTCTTCATTTAGCAATAATAATATATTTCTCCAAATGAAAATTTCAAAGATAAAATAAAAAATCTATTCCGCTAACACCACAACCCTCGACCTATCCCAGACAAAAAGCCTAAACGATCCGAGCGCATTATGACCCCCAAATGATCAACATGTTTTCCCGGTGACGCTCTGCCTCTCAGGGAAATTACAGGGATGCAATAATATTTACTCTGTAAACTCGGCACTTCGATAATGACGTGCACAACAACAGCGCGTAAACACGGGTGAAAAAGGGAAACGTCATCCCACCCCTTCTCGAGAGCATTTGCGTCTGGCGGACGTAATAAAAATAGAAATACTTTGTTTACAACTGGCGTGTGATATAATGGAAAATAAAATATTGTCCGAGAGTTGGAGTTAGGGTTGGCCGGGAGGACATGTCCTAATGGACAAAAAAAAATTATTATTTTAAACATTTTAATACGATCATTTTGTGAAAATATATTTTGGATTTTTTTTTCTTTTGATAAACTAAAGAAAATGCGTTTTTGGTAATATTAATAAAAATTATTTATTATTATTATAATTATCATAATAATAATAATTCTAAATTACATTATATTCGTCATTTAACAATAAAACATACTTATTATTATGATAATAATAATAACAATAATAATAATAATATTGTTGTTAATAATAATGATTAAATATGTTATTGTTAGAAAAAAAAACCGACTGTTTATTCCTTTAAAAAATTAATTCCATGTTTCAGCACAATGTCAACGGGACTGAATTCAATGTCAGGAGTTATTTATGAAGACATGATAAATCCATTGTTGAAGAGGCCCTTGTCCCAAGTGGCTGCCAGCCGAATCATGAAACTACTGGTTGTTTTGATTGGATGCATTTGCGTCGGACTTGTATTTCTCGTGGAGAAACTCAGTGGATTGATCCAAGTATCTATTCGCCTCATTAATCATCTAAAAATTCGTTATAAATTAATTGATTCGTTTGTTAATCCCTTCAATTCGTTTAATGCATTGATTTTCACGTTTTCTCAGGCAGGAAAAAGCCTCTCGGGCATAACGGCTGGACCATTGCTGGGTATTTTCACTTTGGGAATGTTTTTCCCGCAGGCGAATTCTAGGGTAACTCAAGATGAATATATTCCTCTGATATATACGTGTCTCTGTGCATGCCCGGCTTCATTGCGGATTTCATACTCTTCGTGGCGTCTAAGTAATGAAAAGTGGTGACGTAAATCAGAGGGCACGGGTGTACCGAGTGAAAGAGAGAGGGAGGATGATTAAAGGAGTTCTGCCATTCCTCATTTTCTTCTCTTTTCATGTCGGAGATGAAAGGGTCGGGTTAATCATATGGAATAATGACTGCGGTATTGGGGTGAATTATTTTTGAAGCTTTTCAGCGTTTCGGGGATGAGTGATGGCGAACTTTTTGCGGAATATTAAATAGACCTTCGAGCACAGGGAAATTCAATAGGGGGACAAGCGATTTCTCAGAGACATTTTATTGAAGGATTAAAATTCTTTTGGCTAATTCTAGAGGTTTTTACGACGATTCTGCAACGGTGCATTTAAAAATAAGGCGAAACACGTGGGAAATTTTTGCTAATTAATTAGCGATTTGTTTCCGATTGGAATTTTCGTGATAATGAAACAATTGATAATTTAAATTTTTAATTGACTTTTGAGTAAATAATTCTTAATTTCGTAAAAAGGATTTTCGATTAGCCAAATAATCGTCAATCTTCCGAACTCATTTATTAATTGATAAAATAATTCGGAATTTGAATATTAATTGATGATTAATTTAATAATTAAAAAATTGCTGAGTAATATTGACAACTGACTTATTCAAAATTTAAGTGTCTTTAAAATTTATGAATATGCCGATGTCTGACCAACATTGCCCCAACGTTCAGATTTTTTAACCTTCACATGATCTAAAAATAGCATATTTCAACTTCTGAAGCCAAAATTAGTTATCTTGACACAAAAATTGGAAATTTCGGATTTGAGGAATGCAATCCTTCAATTCAGAAGCTATAGGAATGATTATACGTCGTTTGCAGGAGTCGGCAAAAATCGCTACTTCAGTAATGTTGAAAGAAGTTTACTGTATATTAATTAAAGTTCACTAATTTTTATTAAAATTTGAAAATAATTTTAAATTCTCAATTATTATTAAACAATGAATCGTAAATATCTGAATTTGATTTTTCGATTGATCGAAAAATCGTCATTCTTGCGAAGTTGATTACTGATTTATAAAATATTAGAAAATTTGACAAATTTCGATTGATGATTAATTCAGCAAGAATTAAAAAATGAAATAATTTTGACTCTGCATCATGATTTTGCCTATCTCTGGTCGTTTATTTCAATTTATTAATTATTGAAAAATAAATTACATAATGAAAACGACTCCCAAAATATCTCAAATTTAATGTAAAATGAAAATAGCGTTCCACATAAGTTCCAGATGTACGAGAAAATAATTCACCTAATTTCGCCTCGAGTAGAAATGCCGATTTATGCAATTAGTATAGCAGTGAATATGCGCATATTTATCAAAGTGGAAATTTCAGCCAACTCATTAACATGGTAATTTGTTGGACTCCAGGGTGCTTTGGTGGGTGCCATCCTCAGTCTGAATTTAGTCGCCTGGATATCGCTGGGCACTCAAACAGCGCTCGCCAATGGAGTCATCACGTATCCGATGAAACCGGTATCGACCGACGGATGCTCAGCCGAAATTCAGAGGAGATTCTTAAATTTCACTGGAGTTCTGAATGATGCTATTACGTATGCAATTTTTATTATTTTTTATTGCAGTATATTCCATTTTTTTATATTCACAAAATTCGTAACGGTTTTTTTCTTTTTAATTATTTTTCATTTCATTAGAACTTGTGCTATCTCATTAATTAATTATTTAATTAATTAATTAATTAAGTCTTAGACATGAAACAAATCCATAGAGGATTCCAACGGAATTTTCTAAGGAGAATTTTTTTACAATTCTACTGAAATTGTTTTGAAAATTTAATTAATTAACTAATATTGACAGAAAAAATTGATATTCTGTCATAAGAATATCAATTCAAAATATTAATTTTAAAGAAACTTGAATTTCTGGGCATGGATTTCTATAGAAAAAGCCTCAGCAAAATCAATGAAATAAAAATCCAATAAATAAAATCTATTCAATATCATTATTTCATTTAAAAAACCAATAAATATTGATTAATAAATCTTTAAAAACAAATCACACGCAAGAGCAACTGAATTTTTTTTGAGCTACAGAAAAAACTGATTAATTTGTCCATAAAATCCCAACATAATACTCTTAATTTTGATTATAGGGACGAGCCATTCTTCCTGTATCGATTATCGTACCTCTGGTACACGTGGATAGGATTTATAACAGCCATCCTCGTCGGTCTCTTTGTGTCCTGGCTCACGGGGACCAATAAATACAAACTAGCCGACAAAAAACTTTACACACCGATTGTGCACAGATTTTTGTTTCCAACAAATCCAGACAAATTGGTAACTCTTTCATTATTCACTTTGTTTACCTTTCGCTTTTGTGTTTTCATGATATGAATGAGGAATCGGATTGCATTTGAAGCTTCAATAATGCTTCAGGTCACCACGGAGCTGAGGAAAATCAATGGCGATGGCGGCCGAAGTCGACGTGCAGTCAATAGTTAGAACAAATGTAATAAAATTTCATTTCAGATAAATTTTTGGCCTAATTATTATTTTGAAAACTTCCCAGTATTTCTTCATTCAGTTAAAATACTCGATTCAGTTTTTATTTATTTTAGTTATTCATTTTCTTCTGTTTTTTTGTAGTTTATTCTCGAAATAAATGTTTTAAAAACACGCAAAACCATTTTTTATGCACAAAAAACGTGATAAAAAAATATTTTTCTTAAAAAAAATTGAAATCATTCAATAAATCAAACAAATTCATTTTTTTCTCAATTTATTGCATTCAACTTTCAGCGACTGATATTCCATCCAACCAAAAAGCAAGAATTCATCTGCAATTCTCCCAATAACTGCGAAAAACTTAGAAAGTAATGAAAAAATACATAATTCTCCTATAAATACAAAAACTCAGTTTTAATATTATTTAATTACCGGCACACGATGCTAAATACTAAATTCGATAAAACATACAAAATATTGTAAAGATAATAGTAACCCCCTTTGTTTAATGATAAACATGAGGACCTGAAATACGTAATTGAATTTCAATTTTAATTACAATCCTGTATTTTTTTCTATCTAGCAGAAAAAAAATCATTTCAACTGGTGGTATTCATCAATTTACAGATGTATTCAAGAGAGTGAAAATAATGACGAATGATTCCTGCCTATTCTAAATTTATGTACACACTTGTGACCGAAGTTATCTCACTTTTTTCTTCGGTCTTCATCACTCCATTCATTATATACACGAATATAACGTTGCAGGCATTAATTACAACTCTATCACTATTTCACCGAGGCAGATGTATCGACCCCCATCCCCAGAATATTACAATTAGTGAATCTTTACATAATTAATTAGCAACATCGTAGGTATCTGACAGAGCCAGTATGAAAATCACAAGACTGCCTTTTGCTATTCGTCATCTCTTGGATGTCATTCAGGCGTTACTTCGACTATTCTAAGTACCTGTTTAATGTGACAGTTTTTCGTACTCGTTTGTACTCTTTAAATCATTTTTGTTATTTTTTTAATTGCGAAAAACTCTTGGACACCTGCCCGACGTTCTTCCATTCGAGGGGATGGCATTATGACGTGAGAGGAGACATGCCAATGGTCCTTGGATCAGGCTGACCTGGCTGGGTAGGGGGTCCTGGCTGCGGCCCTGTCTCCAGGTTCTTCAGCAACTGGTTCAACCAGTGTTTTGTGGATTTGTCCTCTTGGAGACATGTGGCGAACGTATTGTCTCGGAGTTGGTCTGGGAGGCATTGGCGAAGGGCCAAGAGAGCTCTGAAAAATAAATAATGGAGTTAATTATCAATACCAGTTTGGAATAACAAATAAAATAAAATTTATTAATTGTTGAAGTCATGAAAAATAAGAGCGAAAAGGATACAGGTCATATTATTAAATGGTTTTTTTTCATTGAAGGTTCTTCGAATAATATTTCTTATGAAAATTGTCGGGGTAAAAACGATTTCGTCCATTTTTTTTCCTGAAGAAATTGTATTTTGACATTTCTGACAAGATAACATAAATTTTATAATTTGAAAAAATCCTAATTATTTCTTCGATATAATCGAGTGTTTTTTTCGTTTTAATTTCGGTTACAGATGAAATAAAATTCATTCATTATTTAAATCCTCATCATTGAGGAGAAACACATTTAAACAAAACATTTTATATTGTGAGATGTTTTTTTTCTGTCGAAAATTCCTCGAATGATATTTTTAATAAATGTCTTTAGAGTAAAAAAAAACTGTTATTCTTCTTCTCAAAAGGCCTTTTTAAAATTCCACGGAATTCTCTACAAAAAAGTTCTCTCAACATTTTTCAAAGCACCAACTAAAATATCAAATAGACAAAATTTTCAGATGCAAAAATTTCTAAATTGTTTCCTACGTAAAACAAAATTTATGAAATTGCTTTTATAAAATTCGAATAAATAATGGACGAATATGAATGATTAATAATTAATTACCTAGGATTATCAGACAGCCTCAAATAGCACCTGACGACATGTTTAAGAAGCCTCGCTGAAGGATCTTTGGCGAGTGACAGTACCATTTTCCCCAGAATCATAGCAACATGACTGAATCTATCGTACGTTTGGCAGATGTAGGACAGACCACTGTCATCGAGTAATATCTTCTGCAGGATAAATGTAGCCACTGTCTTACTCAACTCCGAACCACTCTCCATTATTCGCAGACAGAGAGGGATTATTTCTGTTGTCAGGAGAAATGTTATCACTTCCTGCTCATCTGTCTTCACTAAGGCACCGATTACCCCGAGACTGGTGAGACGCAGGTACTCAAATGGCCGTGTTTTGCTGACTGTATGGAGAAAGGGGTAGAGGAAGAGAGGAACATGAGCCTGTGAACAAAAATTAATAGATTTCCGTTCTCATTTCTGAATTTTAGAGCAGAAGAGGAAAAACACACTCCTTCGAATGGGCGATTGCAGAAGATTGGCTGAGTGAATTTCCATAGTTTTTTTTTCATCTTCAAGACATTTTTCTAAGCTTGAAAATGACACGTGACTCATCAAAATTGCATCATTCGTTCATTAGATATTGAAGATGAATGAAAAAAAGAATTCGACTGGGTTGTTGGTCGAACCAATAACTTCCCGACCGATTGCATTTCCTTCATTCATTAGAATTAGATTGTTCTAAAAGCACAGAATTAGAAAAATAGAATGAAAAGAACATATTAATGAAAAAAATTGACTTGTTTTGAAAAATCTTTGAAAATTTTCGCTGAGACGATTTTGCTGGAATTTCACTCCAGTCTTAATCACACAAAGTTGCATTAATTATGATGGCAAGAAATCAATCTCATAGTTTCTCTGAGAGGAATCATTAAATTTGTGAGCAAATGCCATTTTTCGACGTTTTTTCACAAGTTTTATTGCAAAATCTAAAGAACCGCTGAGGCGATGTTGTTCAGAATCTAATCATTTCTAAGTTACATGAAAACACATCGATTGCGTGAAAAAAAATTGAATCGCATCGTTTGTTCGAGAGAAATCGTAGCACAAAATTTTGGTCACACACACAGACCGGTCTCAAAAAAGTGTCGGGAGAGTTTCTAGGGGTCATGAAACGTGGAGAAACCATGAAAATTCCAGAATGTTCACCGTTTATTAATAACATTAAAAATTGCAACTTCCCTCAAAACAAACTTTAAAAAATTCGTTAAAAAATGGCAAAAAAGAGTGTTTTTTAATAATATCTTTTTATTTTCTTGTGATATTCCGTATTTTCCATGAGACAAACCTGAAGAAATGCTGATCTAGTTTCTGGATGACTAGCCACACACTGGAGCAACGCGAGTGCATTGCACACACGATTGCTCTGATGAGCAGTCAACGTAGCTGGATTGATAGCTGGATAAATATTAATAATCTCTTGCAACAACGAGGCGGCAGTGCCAAACGAGTGCCAGAGCATCGGTGCCAAATCCGGCACGACCTCCCGTTTTTTACTCAACTCTAGGAGAGCATTTTCACGAGTCTCCGGGTTTGATAGTTCAATGATCCAAGTGTACACTTTTTCGCGATCTACGGACGATTGCAAAGACGCTGGACTCTGTTGAGAGCTCATTTTACACTGCACAATGATTATCGGGGGTTTATTATCACTGGTTGAACGGGTAAACAGTTGTTATTTGTTGGGGATTGGTTAGGATTCCATTTTTCTCACTTGCGGCAGTCGACTGCCTCTTGAAGGAGATATGCGAGCGTCGACTGCTGTTTGTTGGAAGAGAATTGTGGGGCTGCGATTGGTGAGTCTTCTTTACCTGCAGTTGATGGATTCTAGTGACGACTGGACGCGAGGGGACGCCTGGAAGCAATTCTGCACGATAAATGCAGTGTTTGAACAGTTTTGCAATTAAAAAAGGGATCAGACGAGTTAATGAGGGAAAATAGTGGACAGAGAGAACTTTATTCGAATTCTAGTGTTGTAATTGTGATGAAGTGTTCTGGGGGATTTCTTTGTCGAAGTATGTTTAACATTTTCAATTTAAATGCAGTGTTTGAAGGGTTTGGTGGTTTCAATGACTCTTTAAGCAATTAACGAAGTGATGAGACGAGTTGATGAGGGAAAATAGTGAACACAGGATTTTATTGGAATTTTAGTGTTGTAAATTGTGATGAAGTATTTTTTTTATCAAGTTACAAAGAGTTCTTGGGAATTTCTTTGTCGAGGTATTTTTAAATACGTATGAAGGTGGCTTCAGTCGTGCTCGTACGGTTTTTAATTTCGAAAATTATTAGTGCAAGTGATCTTTAGGGAGATGAGTTTCTGGAGGCATTGGAGAACATCTCGAGGACTGGATGAAAATTTCAACTCCTGGTGAGTGACTAAAATTTACAATTTAAATTAAGTCTTTGAACAGTTTTGATGGATTCAATTACTCTTTAAGCAATTAAAAAAGTGATGAAACGAGTTGATGAGGGAAAATAGTGAACACAGGATTTTATTGGAATTTTAGTGTTGTAAATTGTGATGAAGTAATTTTTTTATCAAGTTATAAAGTGTTCTTGGGAATTTCTTTGTGGAGATATGTTTAAATACGTATGATGGCGGTTTCAGTCATTCAAAATTCTATTGGAATTCCATTGGAATTCTATGGGGTTTCTATAGCATTTCTATCGGAATTCTATTGAAAAATTCCATTTGTTTTTTGCGCTGATTCTATTGGATATTCAATAAGAAAAAGTCAATAGATTTTCAATTTCTGCTTAAATTTTCCTCTTAAATTATCTAAATTAACCCTAGATTGGTCACCCTATGAGGGAAACCCCGCGGCGCGTCGTTTTTCTTTAATTACAATTGACTGTCTAACCGGAAAAATTCAAAAAAATTTGACTGTCAATTGAACTGTCTAAAGAATTATAGTAGTTTTTAGAACAACATATTTCCCGAAATTCCTAAAGAAAACGAATTATTTCAAGCAAATGAATTATTTTTCCCCATGTTAAATGAAATTGCCCATCACGCGACGTTGCCGGAAACTCGCTAAACGCGCCCGGGCATTGTAGACTGAATTCGGCAACGCTAGAGCTTAAATCACACGGCGGGGAATCCCTGCGGCGGTGACCAGAGTCGCAGGGTCACGTTTGGTGACGAGACTAGGATTAAATATCGCAAAATATTGATATTTTTTCAAACATTTCTCTCGTATAAATAAATAATAAAACTTGTTTGCAAAACGGTGGATTATTTTTTATGTGTCAAAAAAATTCTTGATTTTTTCACATCTAACGAAAAAAAAATTCAGATTTTAATCTGAATTTTTTAATGCATTTTAATGCAGTCCCGAGAATTCCTCAAACTCAATCCGAAGAAAAAAAGATCAGGTCAACCCTATTGTATGAATTTCCTCTCCAAATTGATTCTCTATTAAAGTAGCTCACCCTTCGGCCGGGCTGCGCTGTACTTTTAAATATTTTAAGTTTTTAAATTTTTCAACTAAAATGCATGGAAAAAATTTGAAAAAATTCAAACCCAGTCAGTATTATCTAAATTAAATTTCGCAAAATATTGATATTTTTTCAAACATGTCCCTCGTATAAATAAATAATAAAACTTGTTTCCAAAACGGTGGATTATTTTTTGTGTCAAAAAAATTCTTGATTTTTTCACATCTAACGAAAAAAAATTGAGATTTTAATCTTTGATCACAATGGAAATGTTGATTTTCCCATAAAACACTGGGTTAAATCCTGATTTTTGAACATTTCTTCTTTTTAAAACCAAAACGACAATTAAATTGAGAAAAAAAAATAGAAATCCGAATCGAATCGAGTTTTCTGCAATTTTTTGCAGTTTTCAATAATCTTTGAATTTACCGTAAGGGTAGACTACTTTGAATCCCTCCCAAATTCTCCCCCGTCCGCAAAGCACCCTCCCCAGTCCCGAGAATTCCTCAAACTCAATCCGAGAAAAAAAAAGATCAGGTCACTCCCCGACCCGCAATGCTCCTCACAGCATCTATCGGTATTCCACCGCGCAACTGTATCTACCTGCTGTAAACTGCTGAAAAGAGTGCCTCAGCCCGTCTGAAACCCCTTGCGAAGGACGAAGACAGCTTCGCGGCGTGGGGGAAGGGAGCAAGAAAATTGTATACAAGAGAACTCGGCGTCCAAGACGAAGCCGAGTCGAATACGAAAAAGCAATGAACCTGCTGGTGGGAGTGAAAGAGGATAAGAGGTAAAAGCAGAGTGGGACGGTCAATCTTTCAGTGTTGCCTGTGCATGTACTTCCCCCCGGTGAGTCTGTGTGAAGGAGACTTGAACTGGAGGTAGAAACGAAAGGAAGGCGGAGGAATGGGCTCCGAGGAATAAGGCCTCCATCACCTTCTCGTTCCTACACTCGTCTTCAGCCGTACTCTGCACCTCAAGGAGGCAAAGTCCCGCTTCTTCAACCTCTGCATGCGCATTATGTACCTCAGTCGATCAGTATTTTACCGATAATCCTACGTTAATTGCAAATATCGTGCGTTTAACAGTAACTGTTTAATTGTCATTTCAAGACAGCTAATGTCCGGTGCAATTCGCTTCCACGTCGTTATCCGCGTTGTTCAGTAACAGTTGGATCGAGTTTGAAAAATATTCAGTGCTGGTGACACAGAATTTGTAAAGTGCGGGGGAGTGGGTGTGAGTGCATATTCCTGGGATTTTAAAACCATCGGCGGAGTATTATTGCACGGATCAGTGGGAAGAATGCGGTAGGATGCGCATTCAGGGTATATGGATCGTCCTCCTCGTCCTGGCGGCGTTATGCCTCCTTGGCGGGGACGGCTATGAGGGGGTCGGTCGTACGCGACTGAGATTTGCGCGATCGGATGTCAATGGTGAGTTCGATGAAACTGATCAACTGCTATTTTACAGCGATCTACTTCCGATTAATTTTTACACGCACGAAAAAATTTAATAGAAAAAACTGTCGATTTCGGTAGAACATTCTGTTGAATTTCTATTAAACTTTCTATTAGTTTTTGGCTGATTCTATTGACATGTTCAATAGAAAACATTCAATAGAAAAAAACAGAATTCGATTTTTCTATATAACTTATTCTTTTCTCTCACGCTATTTACTTCACCAATTTAATAATTCAAAATTGGTGAATCTATAATCGAACTGTAAGAGATATTTGGATATCCTCAGAGCGAAAAAATTGAGACTTCAATATTTCCTCAAGAAAAAACCAACAAAAACGGGCATTCGATGGAGCAGAAAGTCATGATTACAACACCTAATCGTATTTTTCATCCAATTCTCACCAGTATTGAATATTCTCTGAATTCATCATCACTTTTTTCCATTTTCGTTGTTCTAGGGCTTGATTTAACGGTTGTCTTGAGTCAGTCCGAAAAAACGTGACCCTTAGGTTTGAATATTACTGACGTCTTATTTGTTGATCGATACACATGGGGTCCCCGTTGTTCAGTGTGTGGAAAGTCGGCAACGCGCGATGGATTCCACAGGGGAAATCGAGTCTCACCGATCCGCCTCTGTGGAACTGACTTCTCTCATTTTTTTCTCATTATGTCGTTCGACTCCTCCAATTCATCCCATTTCGGAGTTCCTCGTGGAGTCGAAAATAGGGCGGATATGATAGAGCAATCATACTCATCAGGTTGAGCGCGTACTTGTGGAAAGTATGTAGACGACATGCGCCGGCACACAAGACTTCCGGGAGATGTTTCTCCTTTTTGTGGACACATTTACGCAACAATCGATTTCCATTGAATGGGTTAAACCACTTTGCGCAAACCTCGGCGCGTTCCCCAGTGACTCATAAAACTTGAGTAGGAGAGGTATTATGAATTCATGAGGAGTAGAATTCGGGGGAAAAAGGGAATTGCGGCCAGTGTCGCCCACCCGCTGGTTATGGGCGGTCTGGGCAGAATTTTATTTGAAATATTCATGACTAATCGCCATTTGCGAGGTATGAACATCGCAAATGAAATAGTTTGGATAGCTGAGTCTAAGAAATAATAGTTTAAATGATTCACCGAATTTTCTTCGATTTTTCTCATTTTATTACTCAAAATGTATTTTTTTTTAGTGAACAATTAGAATTAAGGAATAATGAATTGGAGATTTTAATTCCAGGAAAAATCACGGTGGAAAGCATTTCATATAGATTCAAATAATAAAATACAATGAGAGAAATTTATTTCGGCCGAAAAATTATATGCTCCCCTGAAGAGATCTTTCGTCGTGTTGAATCAATTTACTTGTGGACAAAAAAGAAAGTCTCCACCAAAACATGATAATTTTCGTAGTTGTAATTGTTCTCGTGAGACATTTATATTGTCTTTCGGGTAAATACATTCGTTCTACAGAGAATTATATGAGGCTCCGGTTTTATCAAGTGAATGTTCTTGAGTAGTGCATATCTTTGTCCAATAAACACTTATAATTTCCATGGAACAAATGATAATTTCAAGAGGAAACTACAATTTTCTTGCCGATAACTGTGTCATTGGCAAAACTAAATAATTTCGAGGGGACAATTTTTTTGGGAAAAAAATATTCTTTCCTCGTCAATGTATTCTTTCTATGGTATAAACCTATGGAGTTCTCTCAGATCAAATGATTGTCGTGCAATAGATTATATTTTTTCCTGTCAACAGTTCGAATTCTTCTAGGGATATTTCTGATGATCACGACGAAAATTTAATTTTTGTGAAAGATATTAAATTTCCTTCTGTCAAGTTGGTTAATTTCCCTCGGGTAAATCTTTTCCGCTCCATCAAATATTCTCACGTGGAACATAGTTTTTCGGCAGAGCTAATTTGTTCTCTCGTTTGTTCACTAGTGAAATCAATTCGCAAATTAAAAATCTATTTTATTTCAATTTCAGAATGAGAAATAAATGAATACTATTTGATCGATCGAAATAGTCTCCTTGAAATATCGATTTCAAGTGTTATTTTATCGCACCGAACTATTCGAAATTGTACTCACAAATTCGCAAATTAAAAATCTTTTTTATTTCAATTTCAGAATGACAAATAAATGAATACTATTTCATCGACCGAAATAGTCTCCTTGAAATATCTATTTCAAATGTAATTTTATCGCACCGAACAATTCAAAATTGTACTCACAAATTCGTAAATTAAAAATCTTTTTTATTTAAATTTTAGAATAACAAATAAATCAATACTATTTGATCGACCGAAATAGTCTCCTTGAAATATCTATTTCAAATGTTATTTTATCGCACCGAACTATTCGAAATTGTACTCACAAATTCGTAAATTAAAAATCTTTTTTATTTCAATTTCAGAATAACAAATAAATGAATACTATTTGATCGACCGAAATAGTCTCCTTGAAATATCTATTTCAAGTGTTATTTCATCGCGCCGAACTATTCGAAATTGTACTCACATTAGATTTTCATAGAATAGCGCTCAGCTCCGGGTATTCGTCATCGAATTATCCGTGACCTCTAAATTTAGAGGATTACGAGGAGGGAGAAGGATCCTGGAGTGCATTCCACGGTGACACTCGTTTCTTTTGGGGGCGGAGGGGATTTTTTCAGGAATTCGTTGCCTGTTGTTCAATGGGAGATGAGGTTTCGGTTGGGATCGGCTCGGGGTTGGTGCTGGGTTTTACCTGGGGCGATGATGACTCGAAAGGAGCTCAAAAAACAGCTATTCATCTTCCTTCAACGGACTCCTTTCACTCCTCTCTTTGGGGAGCATTATCTAGGAGTACAATTCGCAATGCCACTAGTAGAGTATTATTCACTCTTTCAACTTTTTTTATGAAACAATCTCTATTTATTTAAAGAATATTCGATAGCATTGAGAATTGTTGTAAATAAAGATCCTTAAAATATCGTTTTGTTCTCTTGAGTTTTGCGCGCTTTTTTGAAACAAGTTCCATTATTCATTCAAGCCAAGCAAATGTTTATGAAAATAGTCATACGTTGCAGAATATAATTAGGGAAAGGGCGGAACGGTAAAATGAGCCGTTTTCAGCCATCAATTACTCGAGATTGCCTGAGTGAAATTGAACGAATTATTTTTCATTTTGAAGATATTTTTTCAATCTGATATTGATAATTCATAGTTTTCCATTTTACCTTACCTTCCCCAGTAATTTATTTATTTATTTATTTTATTTTTATTTTTTATTTATTTTTTGTTTAAGAATTTATTAGATTTGTAATTTGGATATCTTTTGTATAGCTTGTAGTGAATCTTGTGGTTGTCCTTAGGGGGTGTTGTACCTTCCAGGACATTAAAAAAATGCTTTCCTCTCTCGCTCCTCTGTGATACACTGTTAGAAAAAAATAAAATTCCAGGTTTCAAATTTGCTGAAAATTCAGTGCAATTCCAGAATTTCGAGCAGCGTAAAGACGAGAATTCCTCAATTTATTTGGATTAATAATCTAATCTAATATGAATACTCAGTGCCAAATTACATTGAATTTTCTGTGAAATCTGAAATTTCATGATTTTTTCCCCCTAAATCGCAGTCAGTGTTACTATTCTAAAAATTTAACAATATATTTATCGGAATTTTCTGGTTTTCTATTCTTTTTTTCAGGGCAAAATGGAACTGAAATTTACAATTGTCTTTGATTTTTCCACGAAATTCGGAATTTTCAGTGGCGAAATTTCTTGAAACTTCAGTGGCAATTAAATTCGACAAAAATTTCCAAAAAATGTACTGGAAATTTCAGAGAAAAATTTTTAAGAGTGTACTGCTGATCAAGTATAAATATTTTCTCATTCCTAAGTCCGTTTTCATTGAAATGGATTCATTAAAATTTTTGAAATTTTTTTTTTTTTCAAGTTTGGCTCCTTTATGTCCCCTGAATGACACAAAGTCATCGCAATTCGCGATGGTCAGTCTTCTTTAATATTCCGACATTTTTCCCCCACTTTATTCACTCTCCAACGCGTCCACAGAATTCGCACGAATAACGGACGGAATCATTAACGCGTGGTGCTCACGAACGCATGCACACAGCCCCACCGAAGAGATTGGGTCATTGATGCTGCAGGAAATGAGGCTCGGAGTAATTCATTACCTCGTGAGAAATTTTTCACAATTCGTGAAGTCATTATGCGATTAAAATCCCATGTCTCGGATTGTTTACCCGTCTTTTCGATGATTATCTGTTGGGGGGTTATTATGCTATGCCTCTAACACTGTATTTATACGGTTCACCTGCCTCATCTTCATTCGGGGATTTCGTGGATGACAGCGGTGGCCTCATTACTCTCGAAATTTGTGGGGAAAGGCACCTAGTTGGATGAGTTTATGGTGGACTCGTGGTATATAATTATTGAGAGGTTTTCATCATCAAAATGGTATGATAGAAAATTTTAACCTGAATTTTAAGTTAACATTGTTGCAACATTTAATTGGCAGTAATTTAGGTGAAATTTAGATACTTTTTGTCAATTCTACGAAACTTCAATCTTAATTGGAAGTTTTAATTCACCAATTTCGGTGAGTAGTTTAAAAAATTCAAGTTACTATTGAAACTTTAACATTTGTTGGATATTAATGGAAATCAGTTATCTAAAATCTTCAACATAAATTAAAAATTCATGTATAATTGCATAGAAATTGACATGTACCTGTCAATCAAATTAACAGTAATCGAAAATTTAATTTCAGACTTCAAGTGAAAATTCTTGGAATATTTACCCACTTCCAAATTATATACAATTGCCCAAGTTTTTTTCACTGAATAAAGTAAAAATTAAAATCAACGGAAATTCAAATTTCAATTAAATAAAATATCAAAAACCTTGAACGCGATAAAAATTTAACCAACATTCAATTTTCAATTCCTTCAAAAGCCGATTCAACATA